CATTGACCAAAATGTTGGGGTTTGGTCCCAATGGAGGCATTTTTCTCCCAAAATTAATCTTTGTTGAGACCCAGTCCTGGCTTTTCAACCCAGYCTTGACTTTTCTGCTCAATTTGGTGGTTTTGTCCCAAAATTCATTCACACTGAGTCCCAACCTTGATTTTTCCACCCAATTCAGCTTTTTTATCTCAAAATTGATCTCCATTGACCAAAAGGTTGGGATTTGGGGCAGTTCYATCCCAAAATTCATCCCCATTGAGGTCCAACATTGACTTTTCCACCCAAATACACTTTTCCACCCAACAGAGCCATTTTTATCCCAAAATTCATCCCCAGTGAACTCCAATGCTGGTTTTGGGTCCAATGTGGTGTTGTTATCCCAAATGTCCTCATTAACYAAAATGTTGGGTTTTGGTCCAACAGGGATGTTTTAATCCCAAAATTTGTTCCCGTGGAAGTCCAACATTGACTTTTCCATCCAAAGGGGTGTTTGTCCAAAATCCACCCCTGTTGACCAAAATGTTGGRTTTTGGTCCAGTGGGGGCATTTTTATCCCAAAATTCATCCTCATTGAGCCCCAACATTGACTTTTCCATCCAGTTTGAAGTTTTTATTCCAAAACTCATCCTCATTGGGGTGCAACATTAACTTTTCCCCCAGAGGGGCATTTTTATCCCAAAATTCACCCCCTTTGAGTCCCAACTTTGACCTTTCCGCCCAAAATTGACTTTTCCACCAAATTTGGTCTTTTTATCCCAAAATTCCTCCCCACTGAGCCCCAACCTTGACTCTGGGTCATCTCCACCCCCCAAACTGCCCAAATCGACCCAACCTGATAGTGACACCATCCAGCGCCACCGTGGAGGGTCAGCCCCTGGCATTGCTCTGTGTGGCCGTGCTGGATGACACCAAGTGGTGATTCTGGTTATTTGGGGATCGCCTCAAGGTCACTGATGGCATTTGGGAAGGTCCTGGAGCCATTGGCAGTGTCCAGCTGAGGCTGGATAGGAGTGGCCGGAACTGCACCGGGAACTTCAGCTGCTGCTACAAGGAGATGACTGAGGGGCGGTGGATTTTGAGTCCTGTCCTAGCCAGGCCACCCAGGCCATTATCAAAGGTGGTTTTGGGGTGAAAAATGGGKTTTTGGGGAGTGGGGARGGGCATGGGGGCACCTTAGGTCATGAGAACAAGTTGGGGGGGAGGTTTGGTGGTGGATGAAGAGATGCCAAGGTTGGGTCATTTTTGGGTCMTTTTTGGGCCATTTTTGTGTAATGACACCAAAATTCCTCCTGGACATCCAAAACTGAGGATTTCAAGAAGTTTTCCCAATTTTTCCGTAACATTGAGCCTTTTGGGCCACTTCTAGGCCTCTTTATCCCAATCCAAACCCCAAAATCTCATCTGGCTTGGTGRCACCTCTAGAACAACCCAGGTGGTCCCCAACCTCCTCCAGATAAAAAATTTAGGATTTTGGGAAAAACTGGGTAGTTCTTCTCCATCGTCTCCATCTCCACCTCTAAAACATTGACATTTTGGGCCATTTTTAGGCCTTTCTTGACCCAAACCAAACCAAGGTTGAAGGCAGCACCTCCAGGACCATCTGGGTGGCCCTCAAACTTCTCGAGATGACAAAAATTGGGATTTTTAGGAAAAATTGGGTGCTTCCTCTCCATTTTCTCCATTTCCATCTCCAATACATGGAATTTTTAGTCCATTTTCTGACCCTTTCTACACCCAACCSAGCCAGGATGGAAAGTCAAGATTTTTTCCCAATTTTTCCCAGTTCCCACTTATTTTCCCCAATTTTCATCCCCCCCCCAGATCCATCACCTCCCCCCGCCTGTCCATGGACCTTCTCTCAGGTATGGTGGCCGCCAGCCACTGGCTCTGTCTGAGCTGCGCCGCACCCCAGTGTGACTTCTGGCAACACTTCCGCTTCTTCTGGGATGGGGCCATGCTGATGCCAGGCAGTGGTAACACCAATGACATCACAGGGGACATCAGTGACATCACTGATGATGTCACTGGGGACATGAGTGACATCACCAGTGATGTCAGGCCTGAGCTGTTCTTTCTGAGGATTTCCTGGGAACTCGCTGGAAATTTCAGCTGCCTAGTGGAGGAGGTGGTGGGCAGGGCTGGGCTGAAGGCCCCCCCCCCCGCCAGGGCAGGGGTATGTGGGGATTTTGGGGAGGTCAGGGGTAGGTGGGGATTTTGGGGAGAAGGGGATTTGAGGGGAAAAGTGATGTACTTGAAGAAAGGGAGGGGGAATAAGAGCTGCAGAGCATGGCCATGCCCACCCCAGTGACCACACCCACTCATTGACCACACCCTGCTGATCACATTCCAATGACCACATCCCCATTGACCACCCCTACTGACAACCCCAATTACCTCACCCTCACATTGACCATGCCCTATTTGACCACACCCTCAACGAGCACCCCCACGCCATTGACCACACTCCCATTGAGCACATCTCTAATTAAGCACACTTGTCCAATTGACCACACCCACTGACCACACCCCAATGATCAGAGCCCTCCCATCGACCACACCCACCCCAATGAACACAACCCTCTTATTGACCCCAGCCCAATGGTCACATCCCAATGACTGACCACCCCCTCCATGACTACACCCCCAATGACCACACCCACCCCATAATGGCCACACCCACTGGCCACACTCCMCTGACCAAACCCACACTATTGAGCATACACCATATTGCTCACATCCTCCACTGACCACACCCTCGATGACCACGCCCCACTAACCACTCCCATCCCATAATGGCACACCCTTCATGACCACACCCTAATTACCTCACTCCCATTGACGACACATCACATTGACCATGAACTATATTGACCATGTCATATAGACCACACCCTCAACAACCAAACTCACTCCATGACCACACCCTTTGACTACACCACAATGGCCACATCCTGAATAACCACACTCCGTTGATCACACCCTCCATGTCCACAGCCCATTGATCACACTCAGACAAATGACCACAACCACCCTAATGACCACAACCACCCTATTGACCATCCCACAATGACCACAGCCCCTCCCTCTCAGCCCATCTTCCTCCTGTCCCCTCCCTTGTTCACTCCAGACAGCTCCGGACCCCAAATTTCCCTCACTTGCCTGGTCCCCYCACCTCTGGCCATGCCCGACACTGCTACTTCTTCCACAGCCATGCCCAGCGATTGACCAAGCCCACGCAAGTGACCATGCCCAAATCTCTGTCCCTGCCCCCTCWCCGGCCACAGCTGGAGCTGGACACTTCAGCTGCCAGTATGAGGAGGCAGGGCGTGTGTGCTGCCCCTGCCCAGTGCTGCCCTGACCCAGATGAGACCCCAAAAGTCTCCATTTCCCCCAAAAAACCTCAATTTCACCCCAAAATCTCAATTTCTATCCTAAAACCTCAATTTCCATCCCAAAAGTATCCATTTCTTCCCAAAATCTCCATTTCCACCTGAAAACCTCAATTGCAACCCCAAAATCTCCATTACCCGCCACAAATCTCCACTTTCTTCCAAAATCTCCATTTTGCGCCAATATTTGAATTTCCACACAAAGTCCATTTCCACCCCAAATGCCATCATGAGGTGTGGTAAGCCACTATGAGGCCTAGGCCTGGTAAGGGCAGAGAAGACTCATGAAGG